CTTCTTAAATTTGTCACAGAGAGACCTTCAGCATGTTCAAGCAAAGCTTCAATAACTCTTACTATCCACAGAGTACATCAGTATAATTAGGTTCCAGCACATTGCATGTATTTCCAGCTGGTGAGATATAGAGAACAGTATGTTGGCTTTCATGGTCATCTGTGGATTAGAGAACCTAGCTTGCGGAGAGTAGCATGAGCTGCTCAGTGTAAAAGTGAGCTTAGGTTGCACCAGTGACATACTGGCCAAAAAGTACCAAAACTCAGCAGTGCTGTTTTCACGATTACCAAGAAATGTTATATCCTGCAAAGGTAAAACTAAGCCTGATAATCTAGTTTACTCCTTTACTTTCCCTACAATTCAGGGAAAAAATATATTCTTTTAAGTGACATGAATGGAGGGGTGGAAATGAAATAATGAGAATGTTAACTGTTTCATATATTTCTGCTTAGAAAAAGGCCTGTCTGTTTCAGATATATGGCATAAGCCTAAATTTATTCATTAGTACACATAGAAAAGGAATGAATATAAATCTAAAGCAAAATTATTCTAATTATCCATGGTGTAAGATTGAGAGAATCTGTGAAAGACCCAAAGCTGATGAGAGGTTCTAAATGTAGGTCAAGTGATTATTTGGGAGTGTCAAGGATGGGCCTTCGGAAAATGGGCACAGAGGAAAAGGAAAGAAGTGAAAAAAACTGAGAGTAAAGTAAAACTACTGCATGAAGAAAAAAATGCATGCCTCTTATGACCAATATTAGATATCAAACAATTTCCCAACAGAATGAATGGAAAGTGGACATAAGGAAAGAATAAAGGGGAAAGGAATTATGCTACAGAGTGCCACTGAAGTCTGTGAAATTTTGCTCACAGCCAGTATGATAAAAGAGAAGAGGCTACAGGTGAAAAAATTGTGCATACAAGAGAATATGGGGGCATTGGAAGGATGGAAATGCGGGCAAACTGCCTACCATTCCTGAAGATAAACCATCTTTGGTAGGACTAACATAAATGGGCTTCAAACTGGATTACCACTATAGTGCAGCAAAGAGTTTGTGTTTCTGTATGTCTTTCTTGGCATCTAGTGAACATCTGGATTTTTGCAGCGCAGATGAAGTAGCCCTTGTCTTTCATCTATTAGGACATTATTACGTTATGTCTGCATTTCAACAATCTGGAATCCTATAAGTTGGCTAGAGGAAGAGGAGGTTTCAATGAGTTTGATGCTAATACAAATGGTACAAATTTGAGGCCCAGGATTTATTTTTCTAACCCTTTTCCTATTACTACTTATTTTCAATGAACTTTGTAACTTCCATTGTGTGTGTTTCAGATTGTTACAAGGTGCCTTACATTAAAATTCCTGCTAAAGATACACACAACCCCCCAATAAAATTGGATGCTT